GGTTGGACTGGGTGACCCACAGAGGTCCCTTCCAACCCCGACCATTCTGGGATTAGCCTCCCCTATAAAGAAATGGGAAGATGCTGGTAAAAAGTCAGGTACTAGTTAGCATGTGATAACAGAGGTACCTTGTAATTTTTTTTTAATTTATTTTCATGATCTGAACTTTTATTTTGTGTCCTCACATATGGTACAGAAATGATTTTTGTATCTCAGCCCGCATCAGCTTACCTGCTAACATAAATTTCCTGAGCCTACCAAGTATGGCTTCAGAGGCTGTATCTTATTTTCACTGCAAAATATCTCATCTGTAGTGATATTTGGGGTGTACCTCTTATTGCATAGGCCTTTGTATGCGTGATTTTCCAAAGCATAAATGGGTAAGAATTCTGTTAGGTTCATCAAAAAACCACCCAAGATCTTTCAGCGTGGGAAAATGCGATCTTCCCTGAAATACTTCATGAAAGAGAGGTGTTCAGGTGTACTAGGAATAAAGTGAGGGAGCAGGGAACTTGACGAATCCTAATGAAGAAGCTATTTCGGACGTCTCTTGTACTGTGAAAGAGCTTCAAGAGACACAGAGTAAAGGTGAGAAGGAGGGTGGGAGATAAATGAACGAAGTGCGTGTGTGCGTGGAATTTGCAGAGCCTGGAAGGTTAAAGAATGTTTTTAAAAAATCACAAAAACACCCAAAAAGGCATTTTAAAGATAATACTTAGGAAGTTTTACCCTCGTCTAGAATAAGCTTCATAGGATCCTTTTTTTCCCTGCTTGGGTTTTACTTTAGAATCTGTTGACTAAGAGTTTTGATAAAAGGTACGTGTAATTCACCTTGACTATTGAGTATTACTAACGGTAGGATCCTACACACTGCTAAGGGAAATATGATATCCCCCAGCGCCTTGTGTTAAAAAATACCCTGATTTTTTCCAGTAATACTCCTGTCACGAATGTTGGGAAAAGCCGCGGTAGCCGTTGCAGAGCTTGGCTTGGGCTGCTCGACGGTGGAGTTGCAGTTAATCACATATAGTTCTGTCATGAGTGCAAGTCTTGCTGTAAGAGGAATTGTTGGATGCATTTCTCAAAGGTCTTTGTTGTCGTCGTGCTGTGTGTTGGATAGGATAGGTCTTACTTTGCTTTGCATTTGGAGCTGATAAAAGTGCTTTTAAAGGCGTAGGTGTGAGTATGGTGTGGAAGGGGAGAAGGACTTGATCCCAGCTGATAACAAAAAGAAACCCTTAAAGCAAAGAGAGCCTGTGACATACGTGTTTGGGATTTAAGGGCAAAAGTTGATGGGTAAAACAAAGCAGAATTACATGTAGTTACAGGGGCTTTTGAGTGTGTATTTCAGAGTAGGTGACATATAATGCTCTCGTGAGACCCCACCTGGAGTCCTGCGTCGAGCTCTGGGGCCCCCAACACAAGAAGGACATGGATGTGTTGGAGCGGGGCCAGAGGAGGCCATGAAGATGATCCGAGGGCTGGAGCACCTCTCCTACGAGGACAGGCTGAGGGAGCTGGGGCTGTTCAGCCTGGAGAAGAGAAGGCTCCGGGGTGACCTTAGAGCAGCTGC